AAAAAAAAAAAAAAAAAAAAAAAAAAAAAAAAAAATTTTTTAAATGTCTTCAGAATGGTCAACCTGCATTTTTGCCTGGGTTAACTGGTGAGATGATTTTAAATTTGTCTCTGTTGGAGGTTTAAAGGTGTCAGGGTTTGACACAAAGATTATAAAACTCTTCATCCAGCCTAAAAACAGAATGATTTTGTTTAATATTGTTGGTTTATTGACAACAGCCATATCTTCTGAGTTACAGGCAAAATACCCTTTTTTTTTTTAACTGTAAGATTCTTGTGTAGGTGAACACCTGATATTCACAGGCTATAACGATGTCTATCAGCGAAATGACTTGAAATGATGACTAGCTTTGTCTAACATCTCAGTTTATATGAGCAATCTAGTTATAATTGATAAAATAAATAAATTAGGTGAATGTGAATAAGTTAATTTACAAATGAACTTTTCATGTAATTTGAAATTTCAAAGTTATGTCATATTAAATTAAATGATTGATCCTCATTAAATGTCTGTGTCATTTCCAAATAAGTAAAATACTAATATGTGGCAGACAGTTCAAGATTTCTTGCTTTCTTGGTTTTCACTAGAAATTAAGGTTACTAAGAGTTAAAAATTCTAATTAATGTCCAATTTTCTATACAAAATGTATTGAAAAATTAAGATGTGCTTTTGATAAGAAAAATTATAAGAATGGCTTAAAAATATGTCTTTATTAAGGAAAAGAATAACTTTATCTAAATTCAGAGGTTATTAAAGTGAGCTACATGGTCACACCTAGCCTCTGTCCCAAATTGATTTGTCCCTGGAAATCAGCACCTGGTTTTCTTGTGTATACTCTTCTCAGTCAGAACTCCTCCTGTGTCTTTATTTAATTGGTACCACTATATTAAGGAGTATAAACCAGGGTTAAAATTAAGGAAAGCCATAGGACCAAGTCATGGATCAGCTACTGTACAAGTTGTATGACTTTGGTGGTTGGTATTCTTTCAGCTTGGTTTCCTCATTTTCAATATGACGATGGTAGACATAATGCTATTCAAATGCTCAGATACTGCCTTACCGTGGTATGGAGAGGAATGAAGAAATGTGTGTGAACAGTTTGCTACATTTGATGCTCTACAGAGTGGATATTTATTATTTGAAAAAAATTAGTTATAAAACAATGCCAACGTGTAACATAATAATGGCACCTCAAGAAAACATCATTTGTAGAATATAGATTTTCTTAAATTATATGTAATCATTTTTACCTCTTTTGTTAGGTTATATACCAAGCTGTACATCAGTGGTGTACAGTCAACTCTCAGAGTGTAGTTTCCTGAAAAATAAGGAAATAGAAGATTGCTTTTTATTTCATTTATTTCTGAAATTCTTTTATTCAAAGACCATTATTAACTTCCTAGCCAGAATGATCCTCTTAAAACCTAAATTCAATTAAAACTCTCCAACAGTTCTGCATCTCACTCTATAAAATCCATCATCTTCACCATGGCCCATAGCGCCACATATGAAATAGCCCCAGGTCACCTCTCCAAATCTTCATCTCTTTACTCTGCCCAAAAGACCCCTTTTCTCAGGGTCTTTGCACACACTGTTCCCTCAGCCTGGATCAGTGTTCTGCATCATATCTACATGCTTTTCTCCTCCTCTGGTCTAATGTCACATTTTCTAAGAGGTTGCCCCTGACCACCCTACCAAACAGCACACTGTTCCCCACTTCCTGTCTTAACCACTCCATTTCTCTCTTAACCTTGGCTTATTTTTCTCCATATTACTCATTTACCTAACATATCAAGTACATGTCTTTTTATTATCTGTCCTCCTACTAGAAAATAAGTTTCATGGGACTAGGCATTTTATTTAACTTGCTGCCATAGCCCAGTGCTTAAAACAGTTGTAGCATTTAGCATTTACCTAATACATATTTATTATGAAAATGAATTTGTGAGCCAGGAGCCTTCTACCTGGTTCTGAATATAGAGCAGACATGGCTTTCCCATTCCTCAGGGCTCCCATTCAAGGGCTGGCAGGTGTGAGAGTCAAGAGAATCAGCCAGGAGAGGTGCTCTTGGGAAGCCTTGGGAGCACAGGGATGGGAGGCCGACTCAGGAGGACAGTGTGGGGGAGAGGAAGTTAAGACAACTTCACCAAAGGGGTGACTCTTGTACTGAGTTTTCTAGAACCAGAAGGAGACAGCTGAGCCAAAAGGAAATGGTTCTTTCAGCTATCGGCATAGCCTGTACAAATGCCCAGAAATATAACAGCACACGATACACTCAAAGGATGGCAAGTAGCTTTTATCCCAAACCTTAGGATCCATGTTTGGGAACAGAAAAAGTTGAGGCTTTAGAAATAAATAGTGACACACCAGAAGGATTGCTTATGGAGCTTGAAAAGTTGATTTTAAAATTCTAAAATTCATCTGGAGGAATAAACGTGCACAAATAGCCAATGCAAGTTTTAAAAGAGAAAAAGTGCTTAAAAAAATATCAATTAGGGAAGGGGGTAGATTGGGAGCAATTCTACAATTTAAATGCACATATTGCAGGACTAAACAATTATGTTTGTAGCTCTTTACCTTCCCCTCTCCTTGTATAGAAAAAGGCATGCAAATAAAAGGATATTTACTGCAACAA